AGGATGGAAAAAAGATTTAGATATGCTGCAAGAGTTTATTTTGAAAGGCATAATAGGGAAAATTATTTGGGTTTATCGTTATTATCATTTACCGTTGTCACTCGGGAAGCTTTAGAAGCTTTTATTTTTGTTGCGGGGTAAATATCCTCATTCTTCACGATCTTTAAATTAATAATTCATTAAATACTTTTCTTCTTCTTCTTCTTAGATCGGATTTCATGCTTCTAATATCAGCGTACTTGGATTAATATTGTATATTCTCGGGTTATTTAGTTTATAAAGGATCAAATCGTATATCATTAAAATTATTTTTCATGTTAGCTTGCACGTTATTATTTTTTATTTGGTGCCGGATTTTTTTTCGAATTCTATTTATCAATTTCAATTCTAGAGATCATTTTATGAAAATTAAATTATTGTGATACAAATGATAATGTTGATTGGACCATTGCTAAATCTTTATTTGGTTGGCTACTTTAGGTGGTTTTGTTAGTTAGTCCAGAACGAAGTGAAGGACTACCGTCTAGCACTGCATAATATACTCCCATTTGTTCAAATTTTATGGCAAAGGTTTGTATAAGACCCGGGTATAATCTTGAAAATTTATTAATTAAAATAAAACAATAATAATCTCATAACTAGAATTCTGAACAGGTTCGGGTTAATTCAAATTATTTCAGGTAATCTGATTTACTTCAGGTCAGGTTAAAAAAAAAACATCTTTGTAGACCAATCCGGATCCTTATAGCATTGAGTTAGAGATATATTCTAAAGTTAGTATTTTTTTTAATTTTTGAAAAACAAATTAATGTTAACTTACCTTTGTGATCGATCCAGAATTGGAATCTTGGGTTGTTACATCTACACCATCAAAAAGGTTATTTTCTAATACTGGAATTTTAATGTTTTTATAAAAAAAAAAAATGTAGTTAAAGTTAATAGCATTTATTCTAATTAGTATTTATATTTTTTATTGAATAAGTCAATTATATATTAATATGAAAAAAAAGTATATGAATTATATTTTTAGTTGTTTTTTATTCAAATAAATAAAAAATTAAATTTTAACAGAATTTTAAAATGCAAAGTTAAATTATTTCTATTATACTCAATATATATTAAAATATATTTATAAAAATCATTAACTAAAAAAAGATGATGTTAAATGGCAAGTGTTAGTATTATAAAAATTTTTTAAATAAAAAAATATATATTAGAAAAATTATTATTAGATTACCTTTGATCCAAGAATTCGATTTTAAGGTTTCAGATCAGTCTGTTAAGATAAATAATATAAGTTAATTTATTAGAAAATAAAAAAAACCATTAGAACTTACCTTTGATTTAAGTTACAGATTCTGAATCAGTCCTACAAAAAAATAAGTAATAATAATTTTATTTTTAAAATAAAATATATATATACTAATAAATTTCTTCAATTTTGGCTTATCCTAATCCAAGATTCAGGATTTTAGATAGTTTTACAAAGGTAAATTAATGTTAGTCTTTTTTTTTATGATTATAAATAACTAAACAAAATATTTCATTTCATTAGAACTTATCTCAATCTAAGGTTTCAAGTTTATAAATACCAGATCAGTCTATGAAGATAAGTTAATTTTGTTATTTTTTTTTAAAAAAAAAAAGAAAAAAATTACTAATTAAATTCTTCAATTTAGCTTACCTCTGATTTAAAATTTAAGATTCTATAAAGGTTAGTTTTTTTTTTTATGATTAAATAACTAAATAAAATATTTTATTCATCTAGATCGATTTATAAAGGTAAGTTAATTTTGTTATTTTTTTTTAAAAAATTAAGAAAAAAATTACTAACTAAAAGAACTTATCTCTGACTCAATGCTTCAAAAATCTGGATTAGTCTATAAAAGTAAGTTAATATATTTCAATATTTTTTTTAAAAAAATTAAAATAAAAATGAATAAATTATGAATCATTTTATTAGAGATTTATCTTGATTGAAGTATATAGAGTTCAGATCAGTTTATAAAGATAAGTTAATTTGTTTTTTTGTTTTTTTTTAAAAAATTAAAATAATTTATTAACTAAAAGAACTTATCTCTGACTCAATGCTTCAAGGATCTGAAATTAATTTACAAAAATAAGTTAGTAAATATATTTCAAATTTTTTAAACAAATTAAAATAAAAATAAATAACTTATGAATCATTTCATTAGGATTTACCTTTTAATATTTTAGACTATCTTACCAAAGTAAGTTTTAAGTAAGTTTTTTAAAATCAAAAAAAAATTACTAAAAAATTTATTTATTAGGACTTACTTACAATTTGATTCTAACTTAAGACTTTAAGAATCTGGACTGTTATACAAAAGTAAATTTAGTGTGCTTTTTTTTAATGATTATAAAAAAAATAAATAAATAACAAAATATTTTACTTCTTTAGGAATTATCTCTAGTCAAAATTTTTAAAAGCTTTTAGATAGGTAAATAGTTATAACATGAGTAATTGAAAGAAAATAAAAAAATTTTCTTCCTAACATTATAATACATGCCAATTATACTGGTCGAAATCAAAAAAATTGGACATGCAAAAATCAGCCTAAAATCAGCTTAAATTCAGCAAATTATCAAAAATCAGCTTAGCCGATTAGCATACATCAGAAATCAGCCAAGAATCAGCCAAAATTTGAACTATCTTATTTAAAGCTGATCGGCATACTTATAGCCGATTGGTATATATTAAAATTTGACCTATCTTATTTATAACTGATTGACGTTCAATTGGAATGGTTGTATTATTTCTTAGATATAATAAGTATTATTGTTTCTTAGAAACAATAGTTTTATTGATTCTAAGAAATGATGCATTTATCATACCTTAAGTACGATGATTTATCATTTCTAAGATACGATAGTATTATCATTTCTTAGCAATGATTATTTTATCGTTCTTTAGGGACGATGATATTATTATACCTAAGAAATGATAGTTTTATCATACCTAAAGAATGATGATTTTATCGTTTCTTAGGGATGATTGTTTTATCATTCCTTAGAGATAATGGTATTATTGTTTCTTAGAAATGATGGTATTATCATTCCTTAAGGATGATGGTTTTATCGTTCTTTAGGGATGATAGTTTTATCATTCCTTAGGGATAATGATATTATCATACTTAAGAAACGATAGTTTTATTATTTCTAAAGAACAATGTATTTATTATTCCTTAGGACGATTAGTTTATTGTTTTTTAAGGATAATGGTATTATCGTTCCTTAGGGACAATGGTATTATTATATTTAAGGTATAATAGTTTTATTATTCTTAAGGAATGATGCATTTATCGTACCTTAAGTATGACAATTTATCTTTCCTAAGGTATAATGGTATTATTGTTCCTTAAGGACAATGATATTATCGTATCTAAGGAATGATAGTTTTATCATACTTAAGGAATGATGGTTTTATCGTACCTAAAGAATGATGATTTTATCATTCCTTAGAAATGATAGTTTTATCGTATCTAAGAAACAATGGTATTATCATTCCTTAGGTACGACAATTTTATTGTTTCTTAGAGATGATTATTTTATCGTTTCTAAGAAATGATGCATTTATTATTCTTAAAGAATGATGCATTTATCATTTTTAAAGGCGATTGTTTTATTGTACTTTAGGGATGATAGTATTATCATACCTAAGAAACGATGCATTTATCATTCCTAAGAAATGATGGTATTATCATTCCTTAGGGATGATAGTATTATCATTCCTTAGGGACGATTGCTTTATCATTCCTTAGAGACAATTGCTTTATTGTTTCTTAGAGACAATTGCTTTATCATTCCTTAGGGATGATTATTTTATTATTTCTTAAGGATGATTGTTTTATTATTCCTTAGGAATGATTATAGAGTTCTGAATGAGTTGAGTTGAGTTAAGTTTAAGGATCAACTCTATTCAACTCATTTTTTTCAAGTTGAGTTGAGTTAAATTTATTTTATAAAATTTTTCAACTCGACTTGATTCGAGTTATATAAATTTTAAACTCAACTCAATTTGACTCGACTCGAGTTTAACTCAACTTGATTTTGACTTGAATTTATTTGAGTTGAGTCAAATTCAAATCAAGTTTCGAGTCAAA